TCAGTGTTGGGGCCACAACTTTTCACTTTATACATTAATGATCTAGATGGAGGAACTGAAGGCATTCTGGCTAAGCTTGCAGATGATACAAAGATAGGTAGAGGGACAGGTAGTATTGAGGAGGCAGGGAGGCTGCAAAAGGATTTAGACAGTTTAGGAGAGTGGGCAAAGAAGTGGCGGATGGAATACAATGTTTGAAAGTGTGAGGTCGTGCACTTTGGTAGGAAGAATAGCTGCATAGACTATTTTCTAAATGGGGAGAAAATTCAGAAATCTGAAGTGCAAAGGGACTTGGAAGTCCTAATCCAGGATTCTATTAAGGTTAACTTGCAGGTTGAGTCAGTAGTTAGGAAGGCAAACACAATGTGGGTATTTATTTTGAGAGGACTAGAATATAAAAGTAGGAATGTACTTCTGAGACTTTGGTCAGACCACACTTAGAATATTATGAGCAATTTTGGGCCCCATATCTCAGGAAGGATGTACTGGCCCTGGAGCGGGTCCAAAGGAGGTTCATGAGAATGATCCCAGGAATGAAAGGCTTAACATATGAGGAACGTTTGAGGACTCTGGGTCTATACTCGATGGAGTTTAGAAGGATGTGGGTGGGGGGGAGGGGTTGGAATCTAACTGAAACTTACAGAATACTGAAAGGCCTGGATAGAATGGACATTGGGAAGATGTTTCCATTAGCAGGAGAGGCTAGGACCCGAGGGCACAGCCTTACAGTAAAGGGACGACCCTTTAGAACAGAGATGAGGAGAAACTTCTTCAGCCAGAGGGAGGGTGGTGAATCTATGGAATTCATTGCCAGAGTAGGCTGTGGAGGTCAGGTCATTGAATATATTTAAACAAGAGATCGATAGGTTCTTGATTGTTAAGGGGATCAAGGATTATGGGGAGAAGGCGGGAAAATGGGGTTGAGAAACTTATCAGCCATGATTGAATGGCAGAGCAGCCTCGATGGGCTGAATGGCCTAATTTCTACTCTTGCGTCTTACAGTCTTCTGGTCTGTGGCCTGGAATGGTCCAAATTTTAAAATTGTGAGCTTGGAGATAGTCCTTGGAATCCCATTGTAAATTCTGTAACTTTTTTAAAGCCCTGGCAGAGGGAGGATATGGGGAATCTTCTCATCCCTAATTAATGGCCTAGAAAGCTCTACTAGAAACTGGTTTACTAGCTGGGGAAATTGGCATTTCAATTTTAAATGGTCACTGAATGATCTTGTGAGGAATGAAGGAAAATATTTTCATTTAATGTCAAAAATTTAGGTTTTCTGGTAATCTGACAAAGCATGCACATTACCTTAATTTGGTCCAGTGACATTCAGTCTCGGACATTTATGCTGTTATCCCTCTGAGAATCTGCCTGTCTTCAGCAACTTAGTGGCAAGCCTCAAAGTGGCTGCATACTGCTTTGGTGGTGGTGTCACCCACCCAGGCAGCTTCTACTTCCTGAAGGTGCTTGACACCACTAAATGGTCGGCATGGAGATGGGGAAAGAGTATAGGGGCAAGGATAAATTTTTGGAGGATGCTGAAGGTAATGCTGTGAGCTTAGCAAAGAGAGGCCATCGCTAACTATAATTGGAGAGATTAGAATGGATTTTAGGAAACAAAACCCCAATGAGCTGGATAACAGAGGGAATAAGTTAGAAGAGGATGGTATGCTCAACAGTATTGTAGTCTTCAGACAGGGAGAGATAATGCCAATGTCAGCAAATTCTTGCACAATGAGATCATGGATAATAGGACTGTACGTATGAGTGAACGCATATTCTGGAGAAGGATGGTGATAGGGATGGGAACAGTTGAATCAAGATAGGGCAATGATAGGTGGAATAAAAGTATAAATACTGTTTACTGCAGAGGTAAAAAGGAAGAAAGTTGAACCATTTTGTACTGCACACGTTCTATCAGCAATTATTTCCAGTACAGAAAATTATCTCTTAACCTGGTGTTAGGCAGTGGTGCTGAATGTTGGAGCCTGAGAATAAATTTTCACTCCTCATCATCTATTTAGGGAAATTCGGGTTAGACCGTAAATACTGGCCTTGCCAATGATGCCTGGGTTCCGTATACAAGTACAAACAAATGAGATACGTTTATACTCTCTCTCGTACCCAAAGTGTTGTCTTATTTTTGTAGGTGTTTACAGTGCATGACAATCTGGCTGTGAAGATCTGCAATGAAATATTGAAGGATCCAGATTCCCCCAACATTCGTATTTTGGTCAAAACTCTGGGATTGCTTGAACTGTCTACTGGAGCATCACCTTGCACAGAGCAGTTGTGTGTTCTCCTAGATAACATTAAGGTTATGTTTATGACTTTTTCCATATAATCAGAAAGAACTGGATAATATTGTCTTTATCAGAATTGGCATTGTTTTAGAGTCTGAACGAATGTGATTCTGAGTGAGTGAAGTATGGAAAATTGTTAATTCTCTCGGTGTAAGAATTAGCCCACAAGTCTTTCGTTCTTAGTCATGTGCTTAAGGTCAAACCGGAATTTTCTCTATCTAATTGGAAGAAATCATTTGAGGATTTTGTCCCTTTGAGTTTCACACATAATATAGCTCCACTGATGTTCATAACCTCATTTTTATCACTTCCCTTGTTGCTTTCTTCTTTTGAAATACATAGCATTTGCTTTTATACTCCTCGAAAGGCATGTGATCTGAGGTCTGCTGAGGTTCCTTTATTACCTGCTTCTGTTGGAAATGTCTAATCTAGAAAGATAATTTCACTTGTTAAAAAAAGACTTGATTCTTCCATCTTTCACCACTATTGCCACCCAGGTCTTTGTAGGGGAAGAGAAACACTTTTCTTAATTACTTGAAAAATATTTAGTAGCATTATCTATCCTAATATGCAGCACCTAAATTGAGATATTTAATTTTCTAAACTCTAATATATTTTAAAGTAAAACTGTGAGCCTTCATGCAGTGTGGATGTGCTGACATTTGGTAAATGGGCGTTCTTTTTGATCTGCCAGAATTATATATAATTAGGATCTTGGAAGAATATGAAAGGATGGTAATTATGTTTGAAATTCTGAATTTGGATCTTGAATATTTTATATGCTGATTGAAATGATCTTTATAGGAATTGAAAAACAGAGTAAATCAGCGAGTCATTGAAAAAATTATGCTACATTTACATGGAAGATCAGGAGAAAATGAGAAGAATAGGTACAGCACTACAACAGAGATAACAAATGAAAATGATAAAGGTATGCCCGCTTTACATATAAACTCCTTTTAACTTATTACTTGGTAATGTCATCATTTCCAGCCTCCACCTTTGCTTCATTTGCACCTCACAGCTGTGATAATACAATTGGACATCTTAAAGTTATGAATTTTATTAATGCAACAACATATGTTTCCAAGATGCTTGGGTTGAGGTTATCAGCAATGTGAATGGGCATCTGAAACAAACTGAAGAATCTGACAAGGAAGGAGGGGCTAATAGCACGGAGCTTTTAAGAAGGAAAAGGATCAAGAAACCATGAATTATGACTGTAATGTTGCAAAATAAGGATATGTGGAGAAAATTGAAGAAAGTAAATATAGAAGAAAGCAAATTGAAATACAGAAATTTAGTTAATGATGCAAAACAGAAAGAGAAGTATAAGAACAATGACTAAAAGAATAGCATGAAATGCTATGAAAGTTAGATTTTGCCAAAACAAAGGATCGTAGCACACAGCACAAGGGAATGAAAACAGCAGCCGGAATAAGAAAGGTGTTTTAATAACAAACCCTGATGAAATAAGAAAAACGGTAAGAAGCTGATTGAAGAATCAGACACAGTAAGAAATTTGAAATAACTGAGTTAGGAGAAGAGAGTAATGTTGACTGACCTCTTTAGACCAGCGATACAAAAAAATAGTATTAAATGAGAAGAAACATCTGGGAAAGCAGCCAGAATAAATTTAATACCTGCAGAGTTGATTTTAAAAATGAGAGGACTTTGCAAGATACTTAATGCTGACCATTGCTGTCTACTTGAAGTCCTCTGGTTATTCTCCTGATAAGAAACTGAGAAAATTGAGGATGGGGAGGAGGTTTGGAATTACATTCAAGATTATCAATTTGGATTCCAGGGAGGAAATGGGACAAGAGAAGCAATGGACATTAAATGTTAATAAGCTAATGTAATTTAGAGTTTGGACAGAAACTGTATGTTTGTAAATTTCCAAAAGAAAAAAATTGATTAGGTTGACTGGATTTAGGTGTTGACAGTGCTGAAAGACATTGGAATAGACTGGAAAGCTAGGTGAGGTGAGCTATATATACGATATATATATAACATACATGGGAACAACAGCATCAATTAAGCGTAGCTAACTGCGAGTCAGGCCACAAATAGTTTGATAAGGATGTTATCGCTTGTCCTCTCTGATGTTTATGCAGAAACGGTGGTCAAAGAGGCATTCGAAGACTTGTATCAGGCACAGAAGGAGGATTTCAGGAACTAATAGTTTGTTTGGTAACAGCAGGTAGAACTTTGGAATGAAGTGAACATTTTGGCAAAGCCAATGAAACATGGTTTAAAGTTGTCCCTCATTCTTATAGATGGTCATGGTCATGGTCATGGATTTGGAAGGTGATTTTGAAGGTGGTTTAAGTTGCTGCGGTGCATCTTGTAGATGGTGCACACTGTTGCCACTGTCTCGATGGTTGAAGGAATGAATGTTGAAGGCTGAGGATGGTGTGCCAGACAGGCAGACTATTTTTGTCCTGAATGGCATTAAACTTGTTTTTTGTAGGAGATGCACCCATCCAGGCAAATGTGGAGCATTTTATTATACTTCTGACTTGAGCCTTGAAGATGTTGGAGAGATGAAGCTCGTTTTTTGTGTCAGAAGATGAGTTATTCATTGTAGAATCCCCAACCTTTTACCTGCACTTAGATCATAAGGTGCAAAATCAGAAGTAGGCCATTTGGTCCATCGGGTCTGCTCTGCCATTCGATGAGATCATTCTGATGTCATAATCCTCAACTTCACTTTTTCTTGTCTTATTCTGATAATCCTTGATCTCTTTACTGTTTGAAAAAAACCTGTCTCTCTTGGCCTTTAATACATTTAATGACCCAGCCTCTGCCGCCTTCTGTGGTAAACAATTCTACAGATTTATTACTCTGAAAGAAATTTCTCCACAGTGTTTATATGACAAGTTCACTTCCATTTTTGGTCAGTGTGTTCCCAGAATATTGATGGTGGGGTTTCAGTGGTGGTAATGCCATTTGTCTAGCACTTGTATGGTATACAGTGACTACTTCAGTATATGTCTGAAGCCAGTCTTTCTTTCCATGTCAAAAATAATCTTTTTGCAATATCAATTATTTATCTGATTTATATTTGATTTTCTTTATTTAGTTTGTTTTTCATTTTCTAAGTGGGTGATTTTAACTAGTATTAGAAATTGTGCAGGCAGAGCTTCAGGCGGATGAAAAACTGTTTGACACTCCACAACGTTGGAGCATAGAGCCAGGAAAATAAATGTTTCCTATCCATGGCAGAAGGTGACAGTTGACTATTGAGTGGAAGTAGACTGATAGTCAGGCAAAGGTGCTCTTGGGACTAAAAGGAATAGTTTATAGTATGTGGGTAAGTAGTTGGGAAAAGGCTTGTATATGAGGGGAGAGAAGGCTAGGACAGGGGAGTAATATTTTCTTGAGGCCTGGGAAGCATTAGGATCAAAATCCGTATGAAGGCATCAAGATCAGTGTGGGTAAATAGAGCACATCATTTTAACTGTTCCATTTCAGTGTTTCTGTTGTGTGGACAGAGTTAAAATTGGCTCTCCTAGCTCTTATGAGAATAATACCTTAGTTGTGTAAAGTATTTAATATTTTTTTCACTTGTAAGTATCGTCAGTATTTATCAATAAAAACCAAAAATTCAATTTGTTGCAAATTAGAAAATGTTAATGTGCCATCACTTTGATATCTTGCAAAATTTCAATTCTAGTTAAGAACTACAATTGAATATAAGGAGCTCAAAAACTACCAGTTCACTTTTTAAATGGAAAATTTGAATGGTTTACAGCATTGAGAGGATCAAAGTAGTTCTACAAATATTGTGCCTTTTTCCTTTTTTCAGATGAAGATCTATCCCAAATCCCTGGGAGTGTCAAAAGTTCTAAACAACCAAATAATAAAACAGTAAATGGTAATGGAGGAAAAGAAATAAACAAAACCAACAAAAAGGGTAACTTTGTCTTCATAATGTACTGTGGAAATTCTGTATTATTGGAAAATTGCATTGGACTTTTATATTGGAATGGATTTTGTTTGTCCAGATGTTACCTTGTAACCATTTTAAGTGAGACCTGTGTATACTGTGCTCTTTAGATCAAGGGAAATGTTTGTCAACGACGAAGTCTATAACCAGAAGCAGAAGGACTAGGAGAGCAGTGCAATCTTCTGATGAAAGGCAAGTATAGTATCAGTGGATTTTGTCATCAGAAATTGTTTTACTTATCTATAATTTGTAACTTGTGATTATACTGAATGGTATTAAAATATTTCAACCAGAAATGGAAATGACATCGGTTTCTGAGTTTGGCGTTTCAAGCTCTTATCCCATTAGCTCAGAAAACCCAGGCCTGTAAGTATTAAACATACAGTAGACATTAAAGAACAAACTGAAATAATGAGCAATGATTCTTCCAAATACAGACTGGAACTTCTTTACAAGGGCAACCTAGAAAACATTGACAAGTCATTTTTATCACTTGTGTTTTACAAATTTTCTTGAGTACTGTAAGGCAATAGAAAGAAACTCTGGCAGTTAAAATATTAGCATTGACTTGCATTGTTTTCTTTGAAAAAAATTCTTGTCTGAAAATCTCAAACTTTGACCTCGTCTATCAGAGATAATTTACTGTAGTGTGAAGAATATCACATTGTATTTGTGATCAGCATGAATGGTTAAAAATATCCAACATTCAGAGCTAAACTGTAACTGACCAGTAATATTGGCCAACATATAGGGAGAATTCGAATGCAAAAGCAAATATTGCAGATGCTGGAAAAGTGAAATAAAAGTAGAATGTGCTGTAAACATTCAGGTTGGGCAGCATCTATGAGAAGGGAAATAAAGTAATCATTTCGGCCTTATGACCTTTCATCAGAATTGGGAAAAAATAACAAGTTTTAAGCGAGCAGGTTTTAAGTAAGGTAAGAAAAACTTATGTTCTGATAGGATAGAGACAGGAGAGATTCACTGACAAAAATGGTAATGGTACAAGACAAATAAGATTGCAGTGGGACAGGAATTGGATCTGGAGGAGGTGTAAGTGATGCACTGCATTTCTATACACAGAAAAGTAGAAGTTTGGAACACTGGTCTGCAAATGACAATTGCAAATCCATGATATATTTTTATTCTGTGATTGGTAGACCTCCTGTCCAAAGGTGTTCTAGAAATACAGAGCAAAGGAGGGTATATGAGTTGGACCTCACCTCAGCATGTATATATCAAATCAAAAGTGGTTTGGGATTAAATGACCTATTATTGTTCCTATGCCTGCGTCCTGAGCAAAGTTGGAAGTAGAGGTTAAATTATGTTGAAATTTGGTCTTTAATTTGGATGTAAAGTGCCTGATTGAAGGATGAGGTGAGGTTCCTTGAGGTCCTATTGAGCTTTATTGGAACACTAAGATGCCGTGAATGGAGAGGTGAAATGAAACAACAGGTGACTGGAACTTTAGGACCCCACTAATTGGTTGCACAATCTGCATTTGATCTCGATAGAGGAAACCATTCAGTGAGAAACTCCATTGTTCACAATGAGTACATTTTAGTAAATTGAAACAAATTGCTTTTTGACCTGATATTTGGACTCTGAGGAGGGAGAAGGTGAAAAAGCAAGTGTCGATTCTGTGTTTGCTTTGAATGGGGAAAGGACATTTGAAGTGGTTGTGGAGGGAATAGTCCCTTTGGAATGGTGAGAGGGGAAGATGTGTTACTTGCGATGGTGATGGTGGCTGAAATAATTGTAAGTGATCCTCTAACTTGTGGAGGTTTGTGGGGTGGAAGTTGAGGATTGGAAGAAATTTCCACCTTCTCTTGCCTTCTCATTAGCATACAAACCTGCAGATTAAGAGCAGGAGTAAGCCTGCTTCTAGCTTAGCTGATCTGAATGTGAACTCAACTCTATATTATTGTGTAATTCTGATAACCTTTGAGTCTTTTTTTGGTCAAGAAGCTATCTACCTCTGCCTTAAAAATATTCAATTAATTTGCTCTGTAGTGAATAGAGTTCCAAAGGCTCGAGGAGAAAAATCTCCTTGTCTCAGTCTTAAATGGAGGATCTGCCTTTTTTTAAATCTCCCCAGTTCACAACTCTCCCACAAGAGGTAACATACCTTTTAGTACCCACCTTGTCAAGTCCTGTCAGGATCTTGTATGTATCAAACGATCAATCTTTATTTTCTAAAAGCTGTCTGTCCAACTTGTCCTCATAACAACAGCCCTTAACCCAAATATCAGTTGAGTCAACCTTCCAAGTTCTTGAATTATCCATCACCAACTACTTCCTTCCTCAAGTTTTCTGTCTCCATTGCTAGAAATAAGCTATTGACTCTGAGCTCACTGACTCCCACTGCAGTCTTGATTATACTTCCTCCCATCCCAAAGCCTGTAAGGGCCTTATTCCATTTGTATGGTTTCTCTGTCTGTTCTACCTGTTCTGTCAGTATGCCTTAATTATTCCTCAACTAAGGGACTTCACTGTGCCTGACAAGTTTCTCCATTCCTGCATTTCTCTGTCCACCCTTTCTTTCCCAGTAAACAATGTAAATTTGATTGAGGCTGAGACTGAACACAGGAATATATCTGTGTACTCAATTACTTTTCAATATGTATTTATCAGCAATGTGGGTGGTTCATTAGGGTTTTGGAAAATTAATTGAGTTGTATAATTCTTTGAAGCAAACTGAAAGTCCTGAGTTTTTTGCGTTATCTTGTTTTGCCAAATGAGAATGTAAGATACACGTGTGCTGAAACTCTTAAGATTTTTGCCTTTTAAATTTTATTTAATTATTAATAACATGATTTTATGTTAGTGACAGCCAAGACTTCACAGCCACAGCACCTTCCGTATCAGCAAGACCTTCAAGACGAGCAAAGACAGCAGCACTGGAGAAAACAAGGATGAATCTCTCTCGATTATTGAACAAAGGAGAAGATTAGTCCAAAAATTATATTTCACATGCCAGTGCTATTACATTGTTTCCAAGAGACAATATTTTGTAATTTAATTTAATGTCCCATAAATTGCATACAATACCAGTCCTGAGAGATTATAGTTATTAGGACAGTGTTAAAGTGAGATGCTCCAGGGTTAAGAAATCTTTCTTTTTTAGCTTTGTAGCTTAATATGTCAGTAATGTTTGGTGGCTTAACTAGTTTTCTTCTATTCTGATGCAAATATGTATCCTGAAGCTGTGACCTGTAGATGTGTATTAAAATAATGAGTGCAGTATATCCAGTTGCAATGTTGTACTTGTGAAGTATGTGCTTTAACTGATCTAGCAACAAAAAGCTAAGAATGATTTTGGATGTGGTTGTTAATGTTTAGTTTGTGGATATTGGTGCTGCCTGATGTGTATTTTTTTTAAATGTTTCCATAGGACACTTGTTTAAACAATAAACATCTATTATTAATCTGAGTTTTATTTGTAACTTCATTAATTTTCACTCTTACAAGTGTGGGCATGCTACAGGTATAGTGCCCTTTGAGATCATACTCTGATATTAGACCAGTCAAGGCTTGTCTTTTAATGCTAACTCGTTGGCCCATGAGTCCATTTGACCAAAGTTGTGGTCTGGATTTTTACTCTGAATGACAGCTTTAGAATATTGATTAGAGGGGTGCCAGGGATTGCTTAGTGGGATTGACATTGACTGGGATCGGTATCCAGTGATGCCCCACTACAACAACACATCATGCTGCATGCATGTTTGATATAGCTGTTCACGGTTTTGTAGCATACCTGCCTGTTGTACTGCAGGAGCACTTGCTTGCCTTTCACCAAGGCTAGAGGCGCTTGGGCCAGGTTCATCCTCAGGTGCACATTTCTGTTGGCCAGGTATTTGTGCAGGAAATGCCTCAGTGCCCTCTGACTGTGATATTTCCTCATTTGGCCTCTTAACCTCTGCATGAAGTGTGTTGCCTCTCTATTCTTCCTTGCAAAATGCCTCTCAAAAATAATGCAAGATATTTTCACTTTAGTCAGATTACACTTTTGTCTAAATTGTAACTTTCCTTGTATCTTTAAAATATCAGCTGCCAAAGATTATTCATTTAGGCCACAGTGAAGTGCAGGCAAGTTTAAAAAATGGCAGATTATCCACACCTGTAATGGGTGTAGCAGCAGCAGTGTTGTACGGTCCCAGTTTGTTGTCAGATATTCCTCCATTTTTTAAAAATCTTTCTCCATGGACATCTAGCAGAAGACTTTAAGACCTCCTTCAAACAAACTGATGTGGTGTAGAAAACATACAAATTCTGACATAAACATTATAGGCTTTACTGTATAACGTAATAAGATGTACAAGTAATCCCAAATGGCTTCATTTGCCCCATCAATTCTTCAGACTCTTCCCTTAAAGTTGACCTTCATAGAAACTGCTGTATGTGGTGTTGGTTCTGAAAGGGTTAAAGTTGGAAACTGCATTGAGCTCGCCCATTCTGATGTCATGCAGCCTTGGTGGAGAATCAGGAGTCCAGCTCGAGATTCCAATGGGATTGGAAGAGTTAAGCCACAAACAGCTGGAATGTGCAGAATAACTTTGGAATCAACACCATTTGGGTGTTGGGTCAATATCCCTTTTTTATGACTTTAGCTATTACTTGGCCAAAGTACTTTTTAAGAGAAAATAATTTAACAGAGTTTGAGTGATAATTTGTAGCTCGGGTGCTGGTTATAGATGTTGGTGTGTTTGCTGAACTGGGAGGTTTGATAGCAGGCGTTTTGTCCCCTTACTAGGTGACATCCTCAGTGCTATGGAGCCCCCTGTGAAGCGTCGTTGTCTTGTGCCGGTTTGAATTTATATAGTCTGGTTTTTTTGCTGGTTCTGGCTATGTGTTGTAATGGTCGGTATGTTGAATTAGACCCAATGTGTTTGTTGATGCAGTCCGCAGATGAATGTCAAGCCTCCAATAATTCCCTGGCTGTCCTCTGTTTGGCTTGTCCAATGGATAATAGTGTCCCAGTTGAAAGTGTGGTTTTTCTTGTCAGTGTGTATTGAAACCAAGGACATCTGGTCATGTCGTTTCGTTGCTAGCTGGTGTTTGCGGATGCAGGTTGCCAGTTGTCTACCTGTTTGTCCCACATAGTGTTTTGTGCAGTCTCCACATGGTATCTTGTAAACCACATTTGTCCTATCCATGGTGTCTGTTGGGTCTTTAACCCTGGTCAGTTGCTGTCTTAGTGTGGCTGCTGGTTTCTGTGCTGTCATGATTCCTAGTGGTCTGAGTAGTCTGGCTGTCAGTTCTGAGGTTTTTTTTTATATATGGTACGGTGGTTATTGTTTTGGGTTTTGGTGTGTCCTGGTTGTGTTGCCTGTTGGTTAAACATCTGTGGATGAAACTGCGGGGTATCCATTCCTGGTAAAGACCTTGTAGAGGTGTTCTTCCTTCTGCAGATCGGGTGTGCTGCAGTGTGTAGTGGCCCTTTTGAATAGGGTCCTAATGCAGCTCCTCTTGTGAGAGTTGGGGTGGTTGCTGTGATAGTTGAAGACTTGGTCAGTATGTGTGGATTGCCTGTATGCTTTTTATTGATGGCTTACATCAATCGATAGAAACCTAGCCAAAGAAACCATATCCAACCTACTAGATGAAAACAACAACCAACAGAACGAGGAACAGATCCACAAACCCTGCATACTCATAAACTACTGGACTTGTGCTTAATAACACATATATTGGCTGGGACTCACTTAGTGCTTGGGGCTTGGATGGGGCAGAGTTTGTAAGGAGCATCCAGGAGGGCTTCTTGAAACAGTATGTACATAGTCCAACTATGAAAGGGGCCCTACTGGACCTAGTATTGGGGAATGAGCCGGGCCAGGTGGTTGACATCTCAGTAGGGGAGCAGCTTGGGAACAGTGATCGCAATGCAGTAAGCTTTAACATACTGATGGATAAAGATAGGTGTAGTTGTCATGTGATGGTGCTAAATTGGGGGAAAGCTAATTACAACAATATTAGGCAGGAACTGAAGAATGGAGATTGGAGGCAGATGTTTGAGGGCAAATCAACATCTGGTGTGTGGGAGGCTTTCAAGTGTAAGTTGCTGGGAACTCAGGACCAGCACGTTCCTTTAAGGATGAAGGATATGTATGGCAAGTTTAGGGAACCTTGGGTAATGAGAGATATTGTGAGCCTAATTAAAAAGAAAAAGGAAGCATTTATCAAGACTAGGAGGCTGGGAACACATGAAGCAAGGGTGAAGTACAAGGAAAGTCAAAAGAAAACTTAAGCAAGGAGTCAGGAGGGCTAAAAGGGGTAATGAAAAGTCATTGGCCAACAGGATTAAGGAAAATCCCACAGCTTTTTATACATATATAAAGAGCAAGAGGGTAACCAGGCAGAAGGTTGGCCCACTCAAGGACAGGGAAGGGAATCTATGTGTGGAGCCAGAGGAAATGGGCAAGGTATTAAGTGAGTACTTTGTGTCAGTATTCACCATAGAAAAGGACTTGGTGGCTGATGAGTCTGGGGAAGGGTGTGTAGATAGTTTGGGTCATGTTGAGATCAAAAGGGAGGAGGTATTGGGGGTCTTGAAAAACATTAAGGTAGACAAGTCCCCAGGGCCTGATGGGATATACCCCAGAATACTGAGAGAGGCAAGTGAGGAAATTGCTGGGGCCTTGAGGGAAATCTTTGTATCCTCACTGGCTACAGGGGAGGTTCCAGAGGATTGCAGAATAGCCAATGTTGTTCCTTCATTTAAGAGAACTGACGAGGATAATCCACCTAATTACAGGCCGGTGTGCCTTATGTCAGTGGTAGGGAAATTATTGGAGAAGATTCTTCAAGACAGGATTTACTCTCACCTGGAAATCGGTGGGTGTATTGGTGAAAGGCAACATGGTTTTGTGAAGGGGAGGTTGTGTCTCACTAACTTGGTTGAATTTTTTGAGGAAGTGATGAAAATGATCGATGAGGGTAGGGTAGTGGATGTTGTCTACATGGACTTCAGTAAGGCCTTTGACAAGGTCCCTCATGGCAGGCTGATACAGAAAGTAAAGTCGCATGGGGTTAGAGGTGAGCTTGCAAGAGGGATAAAAAAACTGACTCGGTCATAGAAGACAGAGGTAGCAATGGAAGGGTGCATTTCTGAATGGAAGGCTGTGACTAGTGGCATTTTCAGGGATCAGTGTTGGGACCTTTGCTATTTGTAATATATATATAAATGATTTGGAGGAGAATGTAACTGGTCTGATTAGTAAGTTTGCTGATGACACAAAGGTTGGTGGAATTGCAGATAGTGATGAGGACAGTCAAAGGATACAGCTAGATTTGGATTGTTTGGTGACTTGGGCAGAGAGATGGCAGATGGAGTTTAATCCGGAAAAATGTGAGGTAATACAGTTTGGAAGGTCTAATCCAGATGGAAAATATACAGAAAATGGCAGAACCCTTAAGAGTACTGATAGGCAGAAGGATCTGGGTGTACAGGTACAGTAGCAATGCAGGTGGAAAAGGTGGTCAACAAGGCATATGGCATGCTTGCCTTCATCAGCCGGGGCATTGAGTTTAAAAATTGGCAGGTCATAGTGCAGTTTATAGAACCTTAGGCTGCATTTGGAATATTGTGTTCAATTCTGGTTGCCACACTACCAGAAGGATGTGGTGGTTTTGGAGAGGGTACAAAAAAGATTTACCAGGATGTTGCCTGGTATGGAGCGCATTAGCTGTGAGGAGAGGTTGGAGAAACTTGGGTTGTTCTCACTGGAACGACGGAGGTTGAGGGGTGATCTAGTAGAGGTCTATTTATGAAGAACATGGACAGAGTGGACAGTCAGAAGCTTTTTCCCAGGGTGGAAGAGTCAGTTACCAGGGGCCATGGGTTTACGGTGCGAGGGGCAAGGTTTAAAGGTGATGTATGAGGCAAGTTTTTTTACACAGAGGGTGGTGGGTGCCTGGAACTCACTGCCAAGGGAGTAGTGGAAGCAGATACTATCGTGACTTTTAAAGGGCATCTTGACAAATACATGAATAGCATGGGAATAGAGGGATACGGACCCTGGAAGGGTAGGGGGTTTTAGTTGTGATGGGCAGCATGTCGGTGCAGGCTTGGAGGACTGAAGGGCCTGCTCCTGTGCTGTAATTCTCTTCGTTCTTTGAACACACTTTACATTCAATGGCAAGATATGTGAGCAGATCAAGGGGCTCCCTTGGGCTCACCCATCTCAAGACTGGTAGCTGAGGCAGTCACGCAAAGCCTGGAACAAACAGCCCTCCCACAGATCCAACCCAAGCTCTGGATCAGATACGTGGACAACATTTTTGTAATTATGTAAAGGACAGTAATTGAGACCACCCACTGACTTATCAACACGATACTCTCAGGGATCAAATTTGCAAGAAAGAAGAAAACAACAACTACTCCCATTCCCGGGCGTGATGGTGGAAAGAGAACGGTGACTTCACTACAAAAGC